TCTTCCCTCCCATTGGAGAGATTTTCATTCACTTCCTGTTGCTCCTTTTGGGACAGGAAATGAAGGGGAATCTCTCCAGTTGGAAAAAAAATGAGTTTTAACCCTTCCCTTCTTTATCCAAAACCCGAACAATCGCTTTGGCTTTAGATACTTTATTATGTATGGGGTTTTTTTTAAACGTTTGCACGGGACCGGAACGCAGGCAATGTTTGGGGCGTTCAATTGTGAGCCAGTGTGCAGCGCTTGGTATTGTGATATCACAATACCAAGTGCAGCACACTGGCTCACAATTGATCACCTCGATAGATATTGCTGCAGCTGGATTATAATCTTTTGGATCACATTTTTTGATATTATATTTTTTGATATTATTATATTTTTTCTTATTTTTTCTGTATTTTGGTTCCTGATTTTTTCATATATCCTAGCGCAACTACCTTGGTCACCAATGTTTACAGTGAAGCAAGGGAGACAAAAATAAATGCAGCTGGTATGTGTTTCAACATTCCAGCATCCATCCAAAAGTAAAATATAATTTTGTTTGAACTTAACCTATAAATGGAATGGATGGTCTTTTTAGGGATTTTTTTAAAATAAACATGTTACAGTGTAGAGATCCACTTCAAAACATTGTTTCTATGTATGATTTTTTATCAGATATGTACATGGAGACTGCCATAGTTGTTCATTATATAATCTGTCTCTGCTTCCTGCTTTGTGATGCTATACTTCTCACAACCAAAGTATGAGTTGGCCAACACAGTAGTGAAAGCTTTTCTCTAAACAAAGTGAACAGGTGAAGCTGTTTCCACTTCAAGCATCCAATCATCTGCATGCAAAAATCCTTTTTTCTAATATTTTTATTTCCCTTGTTACATGTGTGGATATTACAGGGAACATAACTTCACTTTGTTTACTTTACTACATAAACAGCATCTGTTCTACTCTACCGATATCTTAACAGAAGTTAAGGGAGAGACAGAATAAGGACCGGTTTAAATCTATTATTATATTTTTTTTATTTTTTCTGTATTTTGGTTCCTGATTTTTTCATATATCCTAGCGCAACTACCATGTTCACCAATGTTTGGGGCGTGGCTGCAGTGCCATTGGCTTCAATGCACCGCCGTGCCCTCTCCCGCCCCAGAAAGAAAAGGGAGGAGTTTAGTGTGCGAATTGCTGCGCGTTCCCGCAGCTACCGCTCTGAAACGCACCGCAATTGGTGTGAACTGGCCCTAAGGGTTTGTTCACACCAGTTCTGGGGCAGGAGGGTGCGTGGCGGTGCATTCAAGCCAATGGCCCCCTTCCCGGACCAGAACGCAGGGAGCCGGCCAGGATGTGATCCAGTGCGTTCCAGCAGCTAACCGCTCCGGAACGCACTGTAACTGGTGTGAACAAGCTGCAGCTACTGCTTTGGACCACTGTGCAATTGGTGTGAACTGGCCCGTAATGTGTCCGTTTGAGCCCAGTTATAAGTGGATTCGTCTGCCAAAGGATTGGTAATTCTGTACAGCCAGTCTGGTGATCCAAGCATCCCTGCCATACAGCGCAGTCGGGCTCTGGACCTCCCAGCACCAGACCAGGTTGTTCTTGCTCTCCGTTTTTGCTCTTTTTCCTCACTTCCTGTTCTGGTGACTCCTGATTCTGGGACAGGAAGTGAGGCAAAATTGATAATAATACCCTAACAGAGGCTAGATAAACAATGCTGATCATCGCCGGGCTTTGAGAAGGATCAATGAACTGACCGCACTTCCATTTTAGTTTCCGGGAGCGGGTGACGGAGAGTCGGAATGAGCTGCTAGCGGGCGGATTCCAGGAACAGGCGTTCGGACGCTGCTACAGCACTGTAAGTTTATATTACTCCCCCTTTTATATGATGTCCAAGCCGTCACCACACAGCACCGCAAGGGGCAAAGTGCATAACACACAGCGACCACTTCAAGTGCAACTTTGGGCAGGGCTTAGGAATAATTTGTCCCGCCCCCTTCCTCTAGCTGATGAATGTACTGCTGGATTTTTGGGGGGAAATGATTAAACAGAATATTTTCTATGTAATCTATAGACAAATGGTGACATATTTGGTTTTGTTTTGTATTTTGACCAAGGGGCCTCTTCATATCATATCATAGCACTTCACTGAATGCACAGGACCGGGCCCGTATGTTAGATGTGCTGCACTGCCATTCAGTTCAATGGCACCCCAACCTCCCGACGTATGGGCGTTGCAGCACATATGCTGCAACGCACGCCAGCCGGGAGGTTAGAGTGCAATTTAAAGTAATATTAAAGGAGAACTATGAGGGGGGGGGAGTGCTTTTCACTCACCTCATAGTTCTAGCCGACCTGTGACAATGATACTGTCACAGGTCGGCTCAGTAGATCGGGAGGTGAGGGAACACATACCGGCGTTCGCTCACCTCTTCATCCTGTCAAGGCTCTCTGCCGTGACAGAGGAGGGGCTGGATTCCCCCCTCCGCCAGCGCTGACTGGGGGAACGGACAGGGCGGGTACAGCTGGCTCTGCCTCTAGATAGGCAGAGCCAGCTGTCAGTCACGCAGCTGGACGGATCCCGGCACAATTGTCGGGATCCGCTTCAGCGCCTCAGTATATAGGGAGCTGCAGCTCGCAGTATACGGAGCTTAGGGTGACGGGAGGACGCTAGTTTGTGTCCCCCCCCCCGTTACCGTAAGGAGAACTATGGGGAAAAGACTTAACCCCATAGTTCTCCTTTTAAACTTTCTCTCAATAAGGAATCCGTATCAAACAAATAGATATATATTGCCCAGCAAAGTATTTTACATTTTTTTTTTTTTGCTGAACCATTTACAGTCACCATGTTTCCCAACAACTCGGCTTCCCTGAACTTCCTGCCCAGTACAGGATCACAAGGGGCAGAGCAGACTCCAGCAACTGTCCTTCTTCTACTAGCTTGGAGAGGGGAAAGTTGGGAGCAGAGGCTCGGCTCGCCCTGCTGGGTACACCTTACTAGCACACACAAGGGTGGCCCCATAGGACCCTGCTAAGCAAAGGAGCCACCCTACAACAGGATATGAGCACTGGCTGATTCTGCAGGAAGACACAACTATTAAACATAGTGGAGCAGCATCCACTGTGAGCGATGCTTGCAATGGATGCTGAAATAACCGCAAACTATTGAAGCCAGAGGAGGAGATCTGTCTGTCTGGGTGTCATGCTGCTCCTCTGGCTTCAAAAGTTTTGCGGTTTTATTTCTGTTACAATTTGTTTTCTTTTCTCTCAATTGTATCCTGTGGATGACACGTCAGTATTTGTTGTTGTTGTCTGTAGCCCGGCTTTTAGAATATCAGCCCTCCGTAATAATCCATTTCAGATGATTGAACTGACGGCAGTTTCTCAGTGTTGTAGATCTAGCGGAGAGCGACGGTTCTGTCTCCGCCCTCCTCAGAGCCTTCAACAACCCGGACATCTCTGACAACGCCGTCCGGTACCTGAGACTCGTCACGTCTGCCTTCCTCCGGAACCGAGCCGAGTTCTACCAGCCGTTCGTAGAGGAGGGACTACAAGTCACAGATTTCTGCACACAGGTCTGCTAAAAATATCAACTCCGTCCTCCCCTTCAGTCTTCTATCTGGCCTCCGTCCTCCAGTCTTCTATCTGGCCTCCTCTCCTGGATTGAGATTGCTTACAGATATCACTGCACACTGGGAGCTTCTCACAATGTGCATTAGAAGCTGCAGCAAGTCAAATGCTGGAAGACGTCCAGCATCATCTAGACTTTCCTCCCCAGCCTGACTGTCCCTGGCCCCTTTCCTTCATTGGATTGTAATTCTGGGGGCTCAGCATCACATGTGGGCATTACAAATGCAGCCTACCTAGGAACGCCCACTCCTCCAGATTGACACCCACCCAACTTTTAAATTGTAAGGGGCAGGGCCCTCCTTACCACCTCAGGGGCAGGGCCCTCCTTACCATCTTACCACCTCAGGGACAGGGCCCTCCTTACCATCTTGTCTTGAATTGTATTGTGATTATAATGTCTTCCTTATATTGTACAGCGCTGCGCAAACTGTTGGCGCTATATAAATCCTGTAAAATAATGGCATTTTTGATATTTGCATAACTCCTCCCAAGAGCCGGCCCACTGCTTGCATCAGGGCTGAGGGCTCTTGTGAGAAGTACTGATGCAGGATGCTGTGATGTTTTCAGGAAGTTATGTATAGCACCCTGCTGGCCCCTCCCACCAGCAATGGTCTGCCTTCATTCCATAGAGCAGCACAGAGGCCCACTGGAACTAAAATAATGTGGCCCCTTTCAGGTCTGTCAATCATGGAGGCTCAGCATCACATGTAGATGTTACCTAGGGTGGTCGGCATGCAAATACAGCCTGTCTAGGAACACCCACTCCTCCAGACTGGCTCCACCCGTCAAGGCATTTTGATATTGTATTTTATTTGCTAGCAGGGTTCCCCTTTAATCAATCACTGACATTGTGTTTTCAGTACGTGGAGCCGATGACCGCCGTGTGTGACCACATCCACATCAGCGCCCTGACCCAGGCTCTGGCCATCCCCCTCCAGGTGGAATATGTGGACTCCATGGACAGCGCCATCAACCAGCACACCTTCCCCGATGGAGCCAGACCATCCATCTATATGTTGTATAAACAGGACCATTACACAGTGCTGTACAGAGTGCTGGATCAAGGGGCGGAGCAGTGATCACACAGGGCTCGTTCCTACCCCTAGCAGAAGGGACGTTTACAGCCAATCGTTTTGCAGTCAGTGACCAATACAATCTGAGCTATCAGGAAAGCGGGCAGCGAGTCATTACATGCTGCCCAGCTTCCCGATTGGCCAGGACGCCGGCTCCATGCTCACTCGTCACCAAGTGTCCTCCAGCAAATGGGGGACGACCTCGGGGTTCAGGATGAAGTGACATTGAAGCAAAGTAAAAGAATCATTTGATTTATATATCAGGAATATACAGGGGAGGGGGCTCAGGGTCTGAGCTTCTTCTTGGGTTCCTTATTGCTGCGGTTGGAGAGGGTATAGAGGGCGCTCTCAGATCTGGTGCTGGGGAGGTCGGGGAGGGCGAGCTGGCCGCTCTTGGTCGGGTATTTGGTTTTCAGGATGTTCCTGAATATCGGCTGCGATAAAAGTCTCTTCAGTTGCTTCTTCATGAATTTCAAGGCTTTCTGCTTCGCTCGGTCCTCCTGCTCATCCGGCTTCCCACCTGGAAAGAATCAGAAGAGTAGGACTGTCAGAGTTCAGTACTGAGTCACCCGAGGGGATCAGGAGAACCCAATGACAGAATACAATGTATCCTTTGATACTATTTGATGTAATAACTAGGGATGCACCGATATGTCAGCGGCCGAAACATATGGGATGAAAATTGCACTTTTGGCTAAATGCCGAAAGTGGCATTTTCCTGCCAATACACCGGCGCATCCGTGTATTCTCTCCTCCCCGCTAGGCGCTGCTCTGTGTCCCAGCAGGGAGGAGAGAAAGTGTCACAGGCGGCCCAGCGCTGCAGGAGTAGAGCACTGTGCGCGGCCGGCGTCTCTCATCACACACCGCTCAGCCTCCTATCACAGTCCTGCAGAGCGGTGTGGGGGCGGAGACAGGCCGCGCTGTCACAGGAGGCTGAGCTTTCCTCCCGCACCGCTCGCTCAGCCTCCCGTGACAGCGTGTCAGGATGGAGAGCGGGTACAAGCAGTCGGTGATCGCTGAGTGTTTGTAGATAGAGGACATTGCATGGTTACTATATGCTCAATTATGAATGAATGGGAAGTGATCTACATCTCCTCCTGTCCATTCATGATTGTGGTTATAGTAAGCATACTCTGTCCTCATGTTATCAATGAATGGGAACTCAGTATAGAGGATTCCTGTTCATTGATAACAGGGGCTGCAGAAAAAGAGATTCAGGACTCTGTGTTCTCAATCTCTTTTAAAAAGGGAAATATCAGGGGTCTGTTTAAACCCCCAATACTTCCCCGAAACCCCTAAAAGTAAAAAATTAAAATTAAAAGTTTATAAAAAATATTTGAAAAAAATTAAAAAAATACTTTCGGTTTCTGCTCCGACATTTTTGTTCTATTTTGAAATTTCCATTACGGTGCAACTCTAATAACAGTACGCAGAGGATCCTCCAACAAAGATTGAAAAATTCTAAACCAGACGGCAAAGAATAGCCAATGACCAAAAATAAACCCCAACATGCTTACAAGCCCTTGGAGTTCAGCAATGTCTTCCTCGCTGACCTACCTGCGTATTCTTAGATTCTGTGCCGCCATTTGAGCCAACCGTCACTGCCTGGTTTTCACAGCCACCCCCCTTGTTGATGCGCTGCTAGATCTTATGTATATGCAGAATGAGATCTAGCTGCCTAAAATATGGTTTACTGCTTGCCACAAGGTTTCAGCACCTGCAGCCTTCTGGGATGTGCGACATGTTTTCCCAGGAAGCTGCAGACGGAGAAAGGGCTACGTCACTCTGGGCCCAGGTGAGAAACCAGGAAGGGGAAAAGAAAAAATAAATAAATAAAAATCGGGAATTTTATTAAAAACAAAAACCTTTAGAAAACATTTTTTTTTTAAAGGGGCGGAGGGGGGGTTAGGAGGTATAAGGTCCCTTTTCACTGGCAGAGTGTTTTTTGCACACATTATAATCCACGCTAAGCCTGAAAATTACTTAAACAAATGATGTCATGTGACCAAGCGTTGCACTCAGGGAAGGTGACATCAGCAGAGCATTGCTGGGAAATCTCATCTGTAAACTCACAAGATCTCATGGAAAGGGATTTTCCTCCCCTGAGATGATGTGCACTGTCACATGTCCTAGTCACATGTGCCAGAGTTCCAGGAAGTAAAAGGGAGATCAAGGAACCTGCCCTTAGTTAAAATGCCCGCTGTCTAAAGAATGGGAATGCAAAGAATAAAAAGCTGGCAATGATCTAGAAGTATCTGTGTGCAGATTGTCATTACTAAACATTTCTAAAAAGGTGCCTTTGTTGTTATTTTAAAGATAAAATCGTTATTTACCTAATAAATCGTCCTCATCGATATCCATTTCCAAAGCTTCAGCCGCCTGCTGGATCCAGGAATTCTGGTGCTTTGTTTTACTGTTGAAATACTCAATTTTCTCAATCTGTCGGGCCAGGTCGACGCGTTCCTGGGAGGAAAAACAAAAACCGTCACTATGCAATTCTCACTCAGAATCAGCCAGTCCATCCAAAGAGCGATATTCCTTTTGAAACTGAACTCCGGGAACAAACCTACTTTTTAAAAATGTATTATAGTTTAACTCCAGGCACAAAAACTCTCATTCGCACATATTCCGGAATAGCAACAAAGGATAGAAATCCACTTGCAATCGTACCCGGATATTACCATATGAAAGCGCATGTGTGTTTTTACAAACACTCCTGTATTATATATAAATAAAATCATCATCAACACTCATTCTCATGATTAATATTATTCAGGATTTAAATAGCTCCAACAATCTGCACAGCACTCAAGACAACGGGGTTAGGAGAGCCAAGCGTATGCAAAAACACTGTGCCAAACATAGCCTGTCCAGAAAACAGAGCTGTGGGAGGAGCCCAGTAGTTACCACCCACTACAGGCTGCCTACATAAAACTACAGGAGGGGGCGGAGACAAGACCAGTCACCCTGCACAAGGAGAGAGCGCGGCAGTGACCGGTCTTTATTACAGGAGGGGCGGAGACCAGACCAGTCACCCTGTGCAAGGAGAGAGAGCGGCAGTGACCGGTCTTTATTACAGGAGGGGGAGGAGACAAGACCAGTCACCCTGTACAAGGAGTGAGAGCAGTAGTGACCGGTCTTTATTACAGGAAGGGGGCGGAGACAAGACCAGTCACCCTGCACAAGGAGAGAGCGCGGCAGTGACCGGTCTTTATTACAGGAAGCTCCAAGTCTCACACTGGATTACTGCACAGATCTGAAGGAAATATACAACGCTCCCCAAGATTTGAGGAAGAATACGCATGACTCGAATCCAGTGTGAAACTTTACCTCTGTGCAGGAGCCTCCTGTAATAAAGACTAGTCACTGGTGCAGTGCAAGGTGACTGGTCTGGTCTCATAGCACTGCAATCAAATGATCTGAAAAACCAATCTGATTGGTTTCCCCAGTGCAGTCTGGAGCGATCAGTGGCTACGATAGGCAGCACCCATGCACAACGTCAGCTGGCAGCTTCCCAAGCATGAACGCACCCTTGGTATGGAGTCCCAATGCAGGGAAATGTTCATGTGCAGGCAGGAAGGGGTCAATTCACAATTTTAAACACTAGGGGAGGGGGGGAGCAGATAAACATCCAACAAATTATAATAATGTCAGCTATTATAGGTTTCCAGAAACATCATAGAGAAATGATTCCCCTTCGCACTGAGGGGGGGAATCATTTCTTTATGATCAATTCACAATTTCTACCTTGATTCCGTTCATGCATTTGGACTCAACGGGGAAAAAGGGAAGCTCGTCGTTCTTCTCCAGAGTCCTGAAGATTTTCCTGTAGTTAATCATATCGTCTGGTCCAATCAGAAGCAGCGTGAGGCCATCGCTGGAGGCACGAGCGGTTCTGCCGCTGCGATGCACGTATGTTTCTGATGTCCTCGGGACCTGGAAGGCAAAGACGTGGTTAACAAGGTGTAGCGATGAGCTCTGTAGCCGAACAGGGCTGGGGGTTTTGGATTCGATCCCCACTACAGGAACAATTTAAAAGGCGATACAAGAGGCTCCTCTGGGTTTCCGAATTTCATGTACAAGCCAAAAACATACAAGCAAGTTAACCGGCATCACCATGTACCGCGGCGTTCCAATCTAACAATGACTTCAGGTGTGTTCCTCACCCAGCAGTAGAGGACGGAAGAGTATTATCTTCTGCAGCTTACTCCACAACTAAGGAATGTGAGGAGAGTAATACACAGGGGGCAGCCAACGTAAGGGGGGCACGCTGATGGGGGCAGCCAACGTAAGGGGGGGGCACGCTGATGGGGACAGCCAACGTAAGGGGGGGGGCATGCTGATGGGGACAGCCAACGTAAGGGGGGGGCACGCTGATGGGGACAGCCAACGTAAGGGGGGCACGCTGATGGATGCTGTTTTTTTTTTTTCATGAAGCCAGCCACGATGTGGTACATCCAAATCACATGGTGCTGTGCCCATAGAACTTAATGAAATGTCTTTCGTGACAATTCAATAAAGTTCTAACAAAAAAAAAGATAAATAAAATTGTGATTTGCCAGGGTGGGGGCATTAGCATTGTGCCTTGGAACACCTACCAGCAGCTGCTGGTGTGAATGGCGGACCGCGGTCTGAACGAGGACCGAGTGACCACCCTGTCCAAACTGCAATTTCAACCACTGCTCAAAAAAAGTTTTGCTCACCGGACCGCCTTGAATTTTAAGCCAAGACCCCTGCTATAGACCATGGCTAGGCAACCTTGGCACTCCAACTGTAGTAAATCTGCAAATCCCATCATGCCTCTGCCTCAGGGAGCCATACCTGTGGTTGTCAGAATCTTGCAATGCCTCGTGGAATTTGCAGTTTCACAACAGCCGCAGTGCCGAGGTTGCCTATCCTTGCTATAGACAGATGCCGCTGCAGTTGAGAAAGCGCCCCAAGGAACTCTGTTCAAATCAGCAAATCTGCAGGTGTAGATCCCGGTGCTGACTTGGAGATATCGGTTCAAAGCAATCCAAAAGGAAAAACTCATCCGGCCAACAGCCATTTCTCATGCAGTCAGACACTTTCTCAAGCCGCGAGGATCTTACTTTCTATTTCTGAAAGCACAGCAGCGGTAGAATAAAAAGATGGCGCTTACAGCCGAGGGGAATGCAGGGGACATATGGCTTATTGAGCTAGCCAGATGGGACGCAGATCTGGTCTGATGAAAGCCTCAAGCCTTTGGTAGGGAAAGGGTTAAATGACCAGCACATGGCTCAGCGCTGCTCTAGCCTCAGTACCTGGTAATGAAGAACGTGCTGGATATTGGGGATATCCAAACCGCGAGCAGCCACATCAGTGGTGAGCAGGACACAGCTGTGGAGGACAAGAAAGGATAGGACATAGCCGCACTGCGGATGAATCGTCTCTTGGTCTCCTATAGCCTTTTTTCAATTGATCAGCATACACACATATGTAATAGGTAAGGAGGACCCAGCAACAAAAAAAGGCAATGGAACCCTTCACATGTCTTTCAGGGCAGGTTTCCTAACCCCAGCTTTTCGAATTGATTAAATGTAGCTGCCCAGGCGTACTGAAATAAAACAAAAGCAGCTTTAGGTGCAATACCCTCCCTTTTCCCAGCGCTGTCCCCTGCACACACTATACCAGTGATGGCGAACCTTGGCACTCCAGCTGTGCCAAAACTACAAATCCCAACATGCATCTGCCTCTGGGAGTTATGACTGTGGCTGTCAGAGCCTTGCAATGCCTCATGGGACTTGTAGTTCCAAAACAGCTGGAGTGCCAAGGTTCGCCACCACTGCACTATACTGTTCTCCAGTGCCGGTGTTGAAGCATCATGGAAACCACTTCCTGTGAGCGCTTGGTGTCATGAATGTACTTCCTGAGGAGGAGGGTCATCATGTCATCCTGGGCTCACAGGAGAACAGTGCCCCACAAGAGCACCTTTCTCTTCTCAATGTGTTTTATTCGATTTGCAAAGTGCAAGACGTAGAAATATTGTCAAATAATAAATGTACAAGAGAACCATGCGTCGTCTGAACCACGGGCGACATCAGAAATATAACAATAAAGGAAGGGGTCAAAAGGGGGAGGGGGCGGAAGGCTGGCCGCCTTCAGTACACTGTGCAATATGTGGTTGCTCATGAAGGAAAATTCTTAGCGACCGAAGGAAAGGTCTACCAGACAGGTCTGTAGGGGTCAGAGTGCTGCTCGCGTCATGCTAGGACTAACCAGCCGAGGGGGCGGGGGGCAATTAAGAGGGGGTAGAGAAGGAGAGAAAGGCAGTGGGAGGTAAAGAGAAGAGAGAATAAAGAGAGAGTAGAAGATGGAGAGGGTGTTGACTACCACCCGGGTGCTACGGCGTATGGGGCAGCTAGCTAATGAGGTTCCGCGTTACTGGGTAGGAGCCCCTTTCTCTGTAGTATTATATACCGGTTTGTGCGTCTGTTAGGCCCTTACATGCCAATTATCAGCGAGCAAAGTTCAATGACAGAGCCGCTGACATTCCTGGCCTCTCTATATCAAGCATTGGACCCGTCACTGCTGGCACATCGTTACCTCTCTCTCTCGGCGAATCTCTCCAGGTTCTTCAATCTCTGCTTCTGGTGCATGTTGGCGTGCAGCTGGAGCGGGTTGCAGTCCAGGATGGTGAGAAGGGACGTCAGCCTTTTGATACAATCGATGCTGTTGGCAAAGACCATAGTGCGCCCGGCGTACTGCAGCAGGAAGTAGTACAGGTAGAAGTCCTTCTCGTCGGTGGAGCAAATTATTCTGCATTCGGTCAGAGTCTCCACGGTGGCCTGCTTCCTGGTCAGATCGATGACCTTTGGCTTGCCCTTCATGCCGACCTTCTGCATGAGGCTCTCCAGCTTGCTTTCCTTGTCCATTTTCTTGTAGTGTTTCTTCTGCAGGAGGCGGCTGGGGGCCTGGTGGATGAGGGTCAGCGTGGCGGAAAACACAAACGTTTGTCTCTTGGGATTGTAGTGAGTGTCGCTCAGCATCTCCAGCAGCTGGGTTAGCTCGGCGTAGTGGCCTTTCTCCACCATCCTGTCCGCTTCATCGATAACAAGACAGCTGTTCACAGAGACATAAAAAGTCAACTTATTAAAGCAAACCTATAATTAAAGAGAAAGTAAATCCTCCACGGTACGGAAACCTTCCCCCATATCATAGAAACTTTTACCCAGCATACATACATTGTACATACAAGTCCTCCAAAACAGGTTTTAAGCAGGTGACGTATACCTGTGTGGTTTTTTTTCGATTAATCGGGAAAAAAAAAAAAAAAAAAAAAGTTAAATAAAATTTGTCAGGCCGAAACTGAAAATGACTTTTCCCCACTAATTATATATATTCATTAATTGTATGTATTATATTAGACATTTTAGTTTCATGGATTTAAAATAATGTGAATTGTTAAACTCCAAGCCATCGCACGATAAAAACACCAACCTTTTATTGAAATTTTTTTTATTTTCCAACTTTATTTTTGTAAAAAATGTTTTACTTCATTGCTGGGAGCAATAGTCAGCCTGCTATTGGATATTTCAAACTGCAATAGCCAATAACAGGTTGGCTATTGCATCCGCCCATTGCCTGCTGTCAATTAGCATTGGAGGGACCTGAAGGAGAAAGTTAGGAGGAATGCAGTCACAGAGGTCTCTCCTCCCCGCTGGTGGCGGCTGCAGTGGTCTGTGTCCCTGCTGCCTCTGCCGATACAGCTGGGGAGAGCAGCGGCGATTGAAAGGGACACAAACCTCTGCAGCCAGCACCAGCGGGGAGGAGAACTGAGGAGCAGAGCGCCTGCAACTAATCGAAAATAAACTAATTGAACATGAGAATCGTTGCCAACGATTCTCATTATCGATTAGTTGTTGCAGCCCTACCTATGCATGTCCAATGTGTCCTGCACCCTCAGCATCCTTGCCATGACGGGATCTGCAAAGCGCTTGTTGGGATGATGTTAGCCCCCAGCTCCGGCATAGGCACTTGCAATACTCCTCCTGCCGGCAATCCCCATGTTCTTCCGCCCATGAGCCCCATTTGTTGCTGGTGTCCAGTGGGCTGAAGGAGGGATAGAGGAAGTAGGTGCTGGGACACATCCAAAATGGCGACAGCTTCAACAGGTATAAGTACTGTGTATGGCCGCGTACTCCCATCGAGAAGAACAGGCTGCTGGGTACAATCACACGTAGCACCTGTCCTTCCCGGGCGCGGCCCGATGCCGCCATGCACGCCGCACGGCTCTGTTCGGGTCGGCTCTTAGCATTGTGAATGAGGCCTTACACCCCATAACATTTCATCTCACCTGAGCTGCTGCAGGTTAGAAAGATGAGGATGCTTCTCACTGATCATCTCCCACAGACGTCCTGGCGTTGCTATAACGATCTCCGGTCTTCGGTTCAACAGTCTCTGTTGTTTCTGTTGGGCCATCCCACCAACCACGATTGCGGTTCTGATCCCTGAAGCAACAAATAAATGGATAAAGATTAATTGTACATATTCAAATTATAAACCTTGACTCCACATCCATATCCCCACTGATATAGCCGTGACGCCTGCATTACTTTTCTTTACCTGTTGATCCTATCAGCAACACACTTCCTGTTGTAGGTGACACTCACTCACTGTACTGTATCTAAGGAGAAGCAGTGTTGTCACCGTTGTGAACAGTGCACCCTCTCCTCTTCTAAATATCAGAGGGGATGGGTTTTGAAGTGGTCAGAGATAACTGAGACCAATGTAATGGATGACAATGCAACACAGGAAGTTATTACCCGATAAGATATCAGGCAGGGTCATCAGCTATTTTTCACACTTATTGAACAGATAAATATGCTATTGAAAGAGTTTTGTTAACAGACCAAAAGGGGCCAACTAACAATAGTTGACTGTTTTGAATTCACAAACACTGATTCGTTCTACTTCTGCTCTATTCATAAACAGTGACAACTCACCTGTGAATTTGGCTACGGCGTCAATGTGATGTTTCACCTGTACGGCCAGCTCTCTGGTAGGCGTGACTACAAGGCCAAGCAACGGCCTCTTCTGACACGGCTGGGGGGAGCTTATAGAAGCGGTGGGGTTAAAATTAATGTCAACATCTTCTATTATCTTCACACAGCCCAAGGCAGAAGACTCATCAGCCTCATCATCTTCACCATCAGCCTCATCATCTTCATCATCAGCCTCATCATCATCCTCTTGGTTGTCCAGGCTTTTGCTGTCTTCAGGATCTGAAGCCTCCATCTCCTGCTCCTCGCTCTCCGCCGTCTCTTCCTTTGTGGGTCCGAATTCCTGCAAGTTCCTCCATTCCAGGATGGAATGGATCATCGGGATGGCAAAGGCCAACGTTTTACCACTTCCTGAAAGGAGAGAGAGAGAAATCCAGTTGGAAAATATTCACAATATATTGTCCTATTATCTTCAATGATTCGAGTTGCATTACCATAGTGAGAATGGGAAATCGAGGGGCACCGAGCCTTTCAAGATTTTACTCACCGCCAGAGAGCCAAGTATTAAAAGGAGAACTATGGGGTCAGTGCTTTTTCCCCATAGCTCTCCCAAGGGTAACGGGAGGACACAAACTAGCGTCCTCCCGTCACCCAAAGTTCAGTATACAGCGAGCTACAGTTTGCGGTATACTGAGACGCTGCAGCCGGGACGGATCCCGACATTACTGTCGAGATCCACCCAGCTGCGTGATTGACAGCTGGCTCTGCCCATCTAGAGGCAGAGCCAGCTGTACCCACCCCCTGCCCTGTCCATTCCTCCAGTCAGCGCTGGAGGATCGGACAGGGGAGGGGAATCCCTGCCGAGAGCCATGAGTGGCAGTCACTGCTATCTGCAGGGAGATGATCGAGAAGTGAGCGAGCAATGGTATGCGTTCGCTCACTTCCCGATCTATTGAGCCGACCTGTGACAGTTTCATTGTCACAGGTCTGCTAGAACTATGAGGCTGAGTGATTTTCACCCACCTCATAGTTCTCCTTTAACCTTCTTCTGTTAAAGGCTGCTACGGGTTACTTTAACCCATGAGAAAGAAACCTCAGCACTCCAGCTGTGGTGAAACTACATGTTTAAGCCTCTGGGAGTAATGTCTGTGGCTGTCAGAGTCTTGTTATGTCTCATGGGTAGTCCCTCAACAGCTGGAGTGCCATGGTTATATATATATATATATATAATCTCGTTGGCAGCTGACTGGCCACAAGCACCATTTAGCCGAAGATTTTCCACCCACTGTGCAAATTTCGGCCGCTTTGTCAAGAACCGGACTGAAACCAGGGATGCACCGCTGTATTGGCCAGAAAATGGCACTTCGGCATTATGCCAAAATTTCCATTTTCGGCCGTTATGTTTTTCGCCGGCAGATATACCGCTGGATCCCTAGTTTTAAACAAACATAAATCATGACATACTAAAAAAAAAAACAAAAGGCCAAGAATTTCCGCTTACTTGAGTCATTAAAAACCAGACTTGCCACATTTAAAGCTTACCTGTCTCCGCTGCACCCAGGATGTCCAACTTGTCCCGGATGGCAGAGGGCAGCGCCAGAGCCTGTATGGGCGTCGGGGCGGAAAATCCCAAATAGCTGAGCGCCTGAAGAACTGGCTGGGGCACGCAGAGGTCCTTCCACGCAGACACATCTACACCCTTACCAGCGGCGCTGCCCAAGACACCAGCGGCCCAGTTCTTGGTCTTCGTGGACAAAGGTTCCTTCTTGGGTGCTTCTTGGGCTGTCGGTTCCTCTGGAGTCTTCGCTGGTTTCTTCTTTGGCTTTTTCTTCCTCCTCCTCTTCTTTTTTGGCCCCTGGTCAGCCATCGCCTCTACAGATGGTTCTGTGCCCACCTCATCATCCAGGGCTTCATGCTGGTCCTCGTCATCTTCTCCGCCAAGAAACACTTCCTCCAGCTCATCTTCAGGCTCCTCTTTCGCTTGCTTGGCCTCCAGTTTTTTCTTGCGCTTTTTGTTTTTCTTTCCTTTGGCAAAGGGCGCCTCGGATTCCTCCTGCTTCTCTCCGCTGGCATCGCGTTTCCGCTTCGATGTTTTCACCAGTTTATAATCTGCGAGCTCCTCGAAGCAGATCATCTCATCCATTTTACCGTCGGTGAAAAAGCTCGGGTCCAGCGAGACCGGCTTCCATTCTCCCAACATTTTTACACCTTTCTGCTGTAATCTGGAGTGCACCTTGCCAGACTTCCTCACTCTTCCTGGCTTCATGGCTACAGAATCTGCAATTATAACACACAACAATGATAAAAAAAAATGAATAGCCAATTAAAAGATAAAAATAACAAAACCGGCTTTGCTGCAATATTCAACTTCAATGTAGAGATGTCTTTGCAGTACTTTTTTCTGCCACTAGATGTCCTCAGTCTGATGACCGGCATGATTCAACCCACTTCATTATTATTATACAGGATTGATATGGCGCCAACAGTTTGTGCAGCGCTTTACAATATAGGGAAGACATTGCAATCACAATACAATTCAAGACAAGATGGCAAGGAGGGCCCTGCCCCTGAGGGCTCACAATCTAAAAGGGAGGGGGAAGTGATACATGAGGAGGTAGCTGTGTGGGGATGAATTGTTTGAGAACATGATGGTTCAGTGGTTAGGTTGAGGTGGGATAGACTTTACTGAAGAGATGAGTCTTAAGGGATCGCCTGAGCCCAAGTCATTCTGAACCCGCTTCCTGACTTGACAGTGAAAGGAGAAGCAGCGCAGTGATGAGTTCATCTCTCTGTATCTCGGATCTCTCCTCCTATAAGCATTTCAGCAAATTAACTGATCGCTCCTCGTGCGGTTTCTTCCTCTCACATTTCAGCCCTGCAGTAGCGTACAATAGGCTGATACTAGGTCAGATTTGTTTCTTTTATATCTATCTGCCTAGAGTTGAGCTTTAACGAAAATCTAAAACCAAACACTTTTTTTTTTTTTTTTTTTTTTAAAGGAGAAGTACAAGGACATTTAAACACACATCAATGCTTAGAGGCGGCATGGAATGCTGACGTTGTCCCAGGCCGGCTCAAAGACTAAAAGCTGAACAATCACATTACTGCTGATCTCTGAACTCTCGCCGACTGCCAGGCAAAGTAGCATCTTCAGGAGGGGTCAGCAATGGCAGCCGGCATATTTCTCTTGCAAATGGGTTTACTTTAAATGGTACAGTAATTTATTTATTCCAGAACCAACAGAGGGGAATCTAAGGAGTCAGGTGGGACAGGCGGATTTGGTTCCCATAGAGGACCTGTCACTCCCAGAACCACAGACTGGAAATCGAGGACCACAATGGATCAGATCATGCTGGGGCTTGTAGTCCTATATCAGAGGCATATATACCCTGCGTGGCCCCGAAATGTTGTTTCGTGACAGTCTGCATCAATAAAGAAGATGGATTATTGACACAAGTCATAGGTGTGCTGGTAACATTTATCATATACTTTTTTCAGGACTTGCTGGAACTTGTAGTGCTAGAACAGAGGTAGTGAGCTCCCGCCCCGGTGATCACATTACAGAAACCCATCTCAAGGAGACCTGACCGCAATAGAACTGGGACTTGTAGTCCTATAACAGAGACAGCTAATCACCCTCGTGATCAACTTACAGAAACTTCTCAGGAACCGCTCACCACAATGGATCAGGACATTTTGGGGCTTGTAGTCCTATAACAAAAGCAGGCAGTGCTCCTTGTGATCAGTCATCTCAGGAACTGCTGGCCACAATACATCAGGACATGCTGGGGCTTGTAGTCCTGTAGCAGCTAGTGCTACTTGTGATCAGTCATCTCATGGACAGCTGGCCACAATAGATCAGGACATGCTGGGGCTTTGTAGTCCTATAACAGAGAGAGCTAGTCGCCCTAGTGATCACATTACAGGGGCTCATGTCAAGGTCAGCTGACGGCAATAGATTAGGACATTATGGGACTTGCAGTCCTATTCCAGAGGCAGTGAGTTGCCCCCGATGACCACATTACAGGAACTCATCTTGTATACTCACTCCCAGCACCCCAATCTCAAGAAGCGATGCGGACTCGGTGACCCGAAATGTGACCCGTTCTGCGTGTAAATCCTCCGCCGATTAGCTGCTCAGCCACATGCAAGTCTCAGGGCGCCGCCATTGTTTCCGTGACGTCATCAGCCCTGAGACAGAACAAACTTTATTGAGCGCGGACACTGGAAGACAGCAGAGCTGTGTGCGCAGCAGAGGGCGTAGTGTGTGCTTCCATCCAGTCTGAGCTGTCCAGTCACCCCATCTCCATCCCCTGACTTCCCACTCTGGCCACATTTGTCATTGCAAATGTGCTCAGCCATCAGCGCTGAAGAAATCTGAAAAATGTTCGGACCACGTTTAATCTGCTTATATTCTTCCCTGGGTCCTCCCTTTCCCCTACCATCACCCTCATTTTTAAATAAAACCTTTCCATTTTAATTATATCTATCATATTTTAGGCAATTTTAGTTCAGGAGAGGGAAAATCTCCTCAATGGGGTCACAAAAAAAGAAGAAAAACATGATAACAATTGTAACTGCTCCCCTCTACCAATACTAAAAATGCATTAACATAACTTAATATTTTGTTTGCATTTGACTACTTGTAAACACTTAAAGTGTAACTCCACTTTTGCTGAGAAAGCTGCATTTCAACGATTTTCTAAAACTTTGTTGTAGATTTCCAACTATTTCTGTTAGGAGGTCCTGATTCCTCTATATAGATCTTTATATCACTAGAGAGATCCCCAGCAGGAGGAAGGAGGCCCTGATTCCTCTATATAGATCTTTATTAGTTTCTCTATAATGATCTTTAATATCACTAGAGAGATCCCCAGCAGGAGGAAGGAGGTCCTGATTCCTCTATATAGATCTTTATTATCACTAGAGGGATCCCCAGCAGGAGGAAGGAGGTCCTGATTCCTCTATATAGATCTTTATTATCACTAGAGGGATCTCCAGCAGAAGGAAGGGGGTCCTGATTCCTCTATATAGATCTTTATATCACTAGAAGGATCCCCAGCAGGAGGAAGGAGGTCCTGATCCCTCTATATAGATCTTTATATCACTAGAAGGATCCCCAGCAGGAAGAAGGAGGTCCTGATCCCTCTATATAGATCTTTATATCACTAGAAGGATCCCCAGCAGGAAGAAGGAGGTCCTGATCCCTCTATATAGATCTTTATATCACTAGAAGGATCCCCAGCAGGAAGAAGGAGGTCCTGATCCCTCTATATAGATCTTTATATCACTAGAAGGATCCCCAGCAGGAAGAAGGAGGTCCTGATCCCTCTATATAGATCTTTATATCACTAGAAGGATCCCCAGCAGGAAGAAGGAGGTCCTGATCCCTCTATATAGATCTTTATATCACTAGAAGGATCCCCAGCAGGAAGAAGGAGGTCCTGATCCCTCTATATAGATCTTTATATCACTAGAAGGATCCCCAGCAGGAAGAAGGAGGTCCTGATCCCTCTATATAGATCTTTATATCACTAGAGGGATCCCCAGCAGGAGGAAGGAGGTCCTGATTTGTGGTCCGTGTCGCTGAGGGCGTGTCTGGGGGGGTCGCGTTCTTTCCCTACACACTTTGTGCTTCAAGGCGTCCCTCTTTTTCATCTCAGAATGTTGCGAGCTATGCTCCCTAAGGCTGGGTTCACACCTAGGCGTATCGAATATGCGCGTTTGTCGCGCGTTTCGTGTCGTGCGATTCGCGGGAAAAAACGAGCGACAAACGCGCGTTTCCGAGGGCTACCTGGCTGTATCCCAATGGAAACGCGCGACAAAAACGCCCCAAAGAAGCTCCTGGACTTTTTTGGGCGTAGGATGTTTTGTAGCGCGTTCACACGGCCTGTAATACGCCCAGGTGTGAATCATACCCATAGGAAATAATGGGATTTCGGTGTTTGAGCGTTTTGCAGAGCGTTCGAACGCGCTACAAAACGCCCAGGTGTGAACCGGGCCTAAAGCTGGCCATACACCTTACAATTATCTGCAGATTTTCTGTGATCAGATGGAAAAAGTGCAACAGATTGGCCCAGGTGGAGATTACTCCGCCCACACAGTTTAGCGTAGGTGGAGGAATCTGTTGCACCTTTTCCATCTGACCCTAGAAAACCTGCAGATAAATTGTAAGGTGTGTGGCCAGCTTTAGGGCCAAATTACAGTATCAGCGGGGGAAGGGGACTGAGCTCTAAAGAGCACCTGTCACCTTTCCCCTAAATGGGCCAAGCGACGGCTTTCCTTTAACAGTCCACCTCGAAATGAACATACATTTGTTACCAATGTGTCTTGTTTATTGAAGGGCTTTTGGTGGTTTGGATCTTGCGGTTATTTAATCTGGAAAGCTGCGAGATGTTATCTGGGGCCTGACGAAGTTTGTCAGGTTCCTCTTTTCATGGCGTTCAGGGCAAACAATAAGACATTGTGTGTCTTTTCATCCCCTGATCCCGGCGCAGTATACAGTCTGTTTGTTAGCTCCTGCTCACCAAGGTAACCGGGGCCCGGGCCTGCCTCTGCTCATGGCTGTAATTATATATACAGCTATTTGTATCAATAGCGGCATGTACAGCGTGATTGCATTGCTGCAGATGGACGGGACATACAGAAGATTACAATGTTGCGCTGGGATAAATAATCTCTTTAATGTTCTATAAATAAAACCCGCTCGGAAAACATATTTGCATTTTTTGTGGCAGATTTTATGCTCAGCGCTTTTGCATTGACCTTGAAGGGTGACCCGAGGCAAACAGCGCGACACACAGCTACAGGGGAAGAAAAGTAGATGTATAAAAAATGTACATACTGTGACGACATGGTGATGAGTTTATAAGTTAAATGTGTATTGGTGTTGGGTTATGTTTTGAGTGCGTTATGCTGTGTGACCTGGTTATGGAAAGACTATCAGCTCCATCCCTCGTTATCTCCCATTGTTCTCTGGGGGAGCTCAGAACAATGACATTCTGGCCAGGCTCCTGCCATGGCTGTCTGGAGCTATTTAGCAGGTGGACACCTGTGGTGTTGTGAAGACAGGATTTCTAGGGAGGGGGAGGGGGATGTGATGGGTTTATATTCTGATCTGATCACTTTCTGTATAAAAGTTTGTGCAGTTTCTCAATAAAGCAGAGTTTGTTTCACCTACACTCAAGCCTTGGCTAGTGACTGGGGAAACTGGGAGCTACAGATCAGCAGGTTCCAATATCTCCTCAGCAAGGAAGAAGACAGCGGCGGACATACTCATCCTGAGTACGGGGGTCCGTCACACATACGTGTATCAGTGCGTGATCACGTCTCACAAACCTTCTTTCCATGTTTAGTGTATCATTATAAAATGCAGGCAGACATATTTGTTCAGTCGCTATGCAGGTTGGGCTTTCTGCAGTGCTGGACAGTAGCTGCGCCTTGGACATCATTGCAGCAAGTCTATGGGTCAGGTGTGACTCATTGAAAACAATGCACTTCCTGCGAGGCTGAACCATTGTTAAAGCTGAACCTTGATCCCCAAAAACTTCATTTAAAGATATTCCTCAGGAGCCACAAAGGATGTAAGTCCAGTTGGGCCCAGTTGAGCAGAGATGGGGAGGTACTGTAATATAGGAAATCTGGCAGTGTTATGGGGGCTTTATCCAATATTAGGGTTGCACCGATACCGGTTTCTTCAGTATCAAGTACCAGTACCTTTTTTTGCTTTCGGTACTCGCCGATACCGAGTACAGATACCGGTGCTTTCCCCCGCATGGAGCCGGCTTCCCGGCCAATCAGGAAGCTGGGCAGCGAGTAATGACCCGCCTCCCAGCTTACTGAATGGCCGGGAAGACAGCTCAATGCTGATTGGCTGGAAAGCTGGCTTCCCAGCCAATCAGAATGGAGCTGGCTGTTTGGCTGGCTCGATGCTGATTGGCCGGGAAGCCGGCTTCCCTCCCAATCAGCATGGAGCCGGCTTCTCGGCCAATAAGGAAGCCGGGAGGTGGGTCATTACTCTCCGCCCAGAAGGAGAATATTCATTAGACTGCCACTAGTAAGTAATGACTTGATTTTTTTATTTCATAACCTTTCCCTTGTTATCCTGAAGCATGTCCGTGGTCTCCAAAGACTACCATATAATGACCACCTCTTGTAACATGTCTGCAGTCTCCAACAGCATTCTGTAGCACTGGGGTTGGCACTCCAGCTGTTGTGGAACTACAAATCCCATGAGCATTAGCTCATCAGTCCATATCCTCAAGGGGCTTACAATATAGGATCCCTAGCTCATTAGTAACTACCCTCAAGGAGCTTACTATTCTTAACTCATCAGTCCCTACCCAGTCCTTAGTTCATCAGTCCCTACCCTCAAGGAGCTTACTATCTAAGGTCCCTAGCTCATCAGTCCCTACCCTCTAGGAGCTTACTATCTAAGGTCCCTAGCTCATCAGTCCCTACCCTCTAGGAGCTTACTATCCTTAGCTCATCAGACCCTACCCAGTCCTTAGTTCATCAGTCCCTACCCTAGAGGAGCTTACAATCTAAGGTCCCTAGCTCATCAGTCCCTACCCTCAAGGAGCTTACAATCTAAGGTCTCTAGCTCATCAGTCCCTACCCTCAAGGAGCTTACAATCTAAGGTCACTAGCTCATCAGTCCCCGCCCTCAAGGAACTGACATATGCTGGGGCCTATTTACCTAACAGCATAGCTTTGGAGTGTGGGAAGAAATCCAAAACTGCACAGGGAGAACATGCAGTCTCCATGCAAATAGTGTCCTGGCTGGGATTCAAACCAAGCACCCCAGTGCTGTAAGGTTGTGCGTTGTGGGGTCAGCACGAATCCACTGTGCTAACCCCGTACAGTTTTCCTTTTTTATCTTTCCGCAGTTCCATTTTTCCCGCATGGGCCCTTGAAGTATCTACTCCGCTTGGAGGAAATGTTGCGGCATTCCGTGTTTCCATGGAGTTCACTTACAGTCATCTCCAGCTGTCTACGGAATGTTCACATAGACACAGCATTCCATGTGTTTGTATTTCCCCCCACAATGACGTCACATGTAGTCATGTTTACCTTGGTCACAGAGGATTGTTCAGCAGTCCATTCGAACCCAAGGAGACATTGCTGTTCGTGGGCCCGCAATGTGGCCCTGAATTATTTTATGGTGATAACATCTAGTCGGTAATGAATGATGGCAACCTTGAAAAGACATTGCTTTGCGCACGTACAAAAATAACATCTAGAGCAGAAACACTTCGCTGATGAAGTTCATAGATTCTGCAGCAGTAAATGAGAGCTAAATATAGAGGATGTATAAAAAGATGGAGATAGAAATAAGCAGCAAATTATCTGCAGAGAGGAACCTTCACTCATCACAGAACAGCCAGGAAATGTTACTTCTCAAGAGTCGGGATGACATTGTATCCAATTCCAAAGTTGTTCCTAAAGAGAGAATGTATCTGCTTTGGTGTTACTTTGTTTATTTTTATGGCTCCAAATGGTCTAAAACTTCTATTGTTTAGATGAATTTGTTTTTGTTAAAGATTTCAAGTAAGAGATACATGCAGGGCCGGATTTCCCACATGCCCACCGAGGCCTGGCCTTCCGGGGAACAGCAGGGAGTAGAGGGGCAGCACAGCCGTGCGAGCAGTTTTCTTTTCCACATTTAGACCTGCTTCAGGCAAGCCGAACCATATTTTGTATAAGTGATCCCGGCG